GATACACCAGCGAACCCGCACGCCCCTGGCCGTCCTCTCTTCCAACATTAAATACCCTCGCCAGGCATGCAAGCTACATTCGAGGTGTAAATCAACTTTCCAGGACAACCATTATGATCCTAAGGAACACCATACCCTCCTTTTTACTCTTTGGAAAGAGTGCCATTCCCGACGGCCGAGATTTCAACCAACCCGCGTTCAAGCGCACCGAAGCTAGTGCAAATGTCCTTTCAGGGTCGGCGACCGCGAAAGGTTCAATGTCGGCGCGGCAGCCAATGAAGGCTAGACATATCTTTCCGCGACGATCCAAGAAGCCAAGTCAAGACAATAAGTCGACATCTGCGGGCTGCATGGTCCCGTACCCAACGGTTATCGCTGCCGATAATCCCACAGTCCCGTGCCCGGACTCGCATGCCGGTAATTCTTCCCAAGGATGATCGATTTCGACTGTACAGAGCTTGATGCGGGCGCATAATGTAGGAGAATGATAGGTCAAACACCGACCATTGAGTTCAAAGAACTTGACAGCGCAGCTACTACAGTCGTGTACTTCAGAGAGGAGCACAATCAGTACTGTATCGCCCGGTTCTTGACTTAAACTGAGGGATGGCCTCATCGTCCCCATAGTTTCTTAGATCGCTGCCCAAGTTGTTCTGTAAACGTCTGCAGTGAAATCATCAATCCAATCCTCCACAGAGGGCAGCATGTCCAATATCGAATTTGTCCCTATCTTTACAGTCGATCAATGCGGTGGTACCGTATACCTTACAATTTTCGGTCTGGAACGTGGTCGACATCCTGAGTGTATCACCGTTGATTTCCCTTCTGGTGACCGAGACTACAGACTCGTCTCTCCATACTCAAATGCAGCACAGTTTTCCTTAATCGCGCCTACCGGAGTCATCAGAGTCACGTTATTTACACACAGAAGACCTCTCCAATTTCTTCAACCTCGGATTATTTCCTTGTACGCAATTGTGTCCGTCTATATCAAGTGCTATAGCGCGGTCATAGCTCCCTTGCAATACCACCAAGCACTGTTTGCGAACACGCTGGTGCGACGACCTAATAGACCATTGGCAGAAAGGCCAAGCAATGTCCCAGGTTGAATTTGACCGAATGGACGAGTCCAACCTCGCTCACACAGAGGAATGGAGTGCAACTTTCACCCTAGCTGAAGTTTTCCAATCCATGAAGTCTCGATCTACCTGCTATGGGTCTGTGGATAAGCGTCAACCACACACAAGCGCAGTCATATAATGAGTGACCGAATGAGACTCAAAAGGGGTGAACAATACCAAAGAATGGCTTGATTTTGGAACGACGCGCTCTGACGAAAATAATGTGACGAGAATTGTTGATTTTGCTGTCTAGCCATAGGTCGTTCAGACACGAATGAACAGCCTTTCGCGAGACTTGATTCTGTTTTTTCAATCTCCGTACACTTTTGCAATTTCCAAAGCCCTTCCTGTGGCGCAGACAAATTGTTTCCTTTAGATCATGTATGCTTGGAAAAGCTCAATGTCCTTAAATACATTAGGACGATCCGATGCGGCCCTACTTCCCGGACCGGGCCTTGGACAGCGATGATCTAAAAGATGTTTGGAGTTTCCAACAATGTCTTCCCAGCATTGGACGGCCCGAGATTGATCTTCAAAGGTCTTGTGGTATGTTGGTCCCCGGTTGTTCATGATGAGATCATCTTCGGTGACCGATGACTCGTGCTTTTCCAAGATGCATCGATACAGCCATTTGCCGGCCTCCGAAGTGGCGTTCCTCCCAACGGTGGCGAAGCAATGTAAGCCTCGAAAGTGTTTGATGAATTCATTGTCATTCGCTTCGCACACGTAAAAGACCGCCACATTTATTGGCTCGCTTGAGTCGATACTGTACTGGCGAGAAGAGCAAATTGTCAGTAGGGGTTCCGGATCTTGACCCATAGACTTACTGGTGATCTTCTAGACCACAGAATAATGACTCCAGCTTCCGGATCCAGTCTTGAAGAGATGTTGCGGTAAGCTTCCTGGAGGTGAGAGGCTTGCTAAATAGACACGAAGTACCCAGGAACTCCGCTAACTGGTTCCAGTCTCGGTTGCGTGTGTTCCACAGTTTTGAACCAAACTGATCCCCGGAAGGGATCACAGCAGAGCTGTAAAGAACCAGCCAAGCGTTCATCTCCCACGTAAGATCTGCGCACACGAATTGCTGTAGTGGTTTCAGGAATGTCTTCTCACGCCCATCCGGGAGCTGGCTCATCCGTTCAAGAGTGTGCCTGAGCTGACTGCGCAGTTGACATGCTAGCGTCTTCAAAGCTTCCTCATCTTTCGGGAAGGCACCAGGGAAGACAGACACAAATTCTGAAGTGAGGGCCTTCCAGCTGTTACTATGTGCTGTTTGTGCATCTTGGAATTCTCCATAGTCTTCAGTGCCCACCCGCGGAAGCCACGCTTCCAGGTCTCGTTGTACCAAGTCCTCCAGCAGACGCATATCGCCAAATTCGTAGTGGAAGCCCCGGAGTGTCGATAGGGAGCCAAGTATAAGTAAAGACTGTTTTAGTTTTAAGTCCAACATCGTCGTCATGTTGACTCGCCCAGATACCTTCTACGGCAAGCACGCGAACAAATAGTCTAACCGTCAAGTCAGGTTCGATTTGACCAGGACTGAAATGTAACCGCGTCGACCGGGGCCCTCGACTTTATGAATCTTTGTAGGCAGTGTGATTGTATCGAGAGGAATCGCGACGGTGAAATGGAAGATTGAGAGGAGGAACTACCATCAAGAGAAATCAGCTAGCATAAGCTGCCCTGGGCGCAGGGGAGAGGAACAATACTTTTTGTCAACGTAGGAATGGTGGACGTACATTGTAAGACAGTTGATGGCCAAGGGAGAATCGGCGTCCGAGGTCTTGCTGACAGGGTCGATAGAAGACACAAGTTGTGGTCTCTTGTAGCAGGAGAACCAGAAGGACATTAACCTCTGCAAAAGAAAAGCTGACTCTCGGGTCCGCTGGGTGACACAGCCCCTTTCATAGGGGTTGTTGATATGGCTAATAGACTTGCCTCGGGCGCCCTTGCCTCGACAAGTCAGATGCCTATTGAATCTAATGGGAGATTTTGACAGATTTCTCTCTTTCATGTCTTCTATACTGTATCCATCTTCAGGGAACGAAGTTCATGGTACTCTGCATAGGATTTCGGGGTCCGAGGTTTCAAACACGATAGCAATTGTTGAAATACTGAAGTCTCATATCTGCTACCTAGCTTATTGCATGATGACCATCCCACGGTGTCCTTCAATTCACAGATACCCGAGTCCTCCCATTGACTCCGACTTGACTATGTGAAGATTCGATTTCTAAGTTGAAAAGAATCTTATTGATACACCGAATCATCTCACATCCTGCAATCAAGCTGATGGCCATGTTTGTACCACAGAAGCTCATGGTGGCAGTTCCATTTCTCACCATCATTCGTATCCCATTCGCAAGGGTATCCTGATACTTCGGGTGCGCTGTGGATCGACTCTCGGATGCACACCCCTTGGACAGCTTGAAACATCTTCTCTTGTCACCTTCAAGTCGAGCTCGAATTGAAGGGTATATGACAGCTTCTCCCTCAAGCCTTCGAACATTGTAACTGTGGGTTCGTTGCAAATTTCAACTCTCGGCCGGCCAGGGGGTATAGAGCAAGAGCAGCAGCCTCTCATGAGATTGCAGGCTGACTCTCTATATGGACAATGATGTTAACCTTCGAGGCAGTTGTGGTGGTGAATCTTGAATCATCCGTAGTTTTGTACGCCTGCGGAAGCCACGTAGGGACTTTGAACCCTGTGCGCAGGTATTCGACCATACCTTCAACTTCTGTCACCATTTTCTTAGGAATGCGGTCCATCACGCTGCGTAAAATTCGTTAGCTTTCGACTTCAGCAAAGGTGTGGAGGCATTCCTACCCTGATTTTGGGCCTTTTGCGATAATGACAGGTATTGCGACATCGCCAATATTCAGATGGAAGCGACATTGCAGCTACTGTACCCAACACAGTGAGACGAAGCTGAGATGTGTAGAGAATTGGGGACGAGCAGAACATAAACAAGGGCAGATGTGCGCAGCTAAAAGCCGGGAATTCAGGAGAGATTGCGTTCTACGCCTTGTCCTCCTTGCTTTGAACTTAGAAGCTGTCAATGCTCAATTACTGTATTAAATACAGCCGCTTGTGATTTCATGCCTTGATACTCCTTCTACATCTGTTAGCACCATACAGGTAAAATGAACACTTCCTTGTCCAATATTGCCCAGGACCTAAGATCCGAGAAGGAAACAATACGTCTTTCTACGTCAACATTCGCTGACCCTGCCAACAACGAATGACAAGATGACAGATTGAGTCCTCAGAGTCCATCACCTAATATCCTCTCTCGCTAAGACCATCTATCGAGGAAAGGTCGTATCCTTCTTTGACGGCTTTGGTATTCCGCCCATCTAAGTCCTTCCATGAAGATCGCTTCATGCTACCTCTCAGGATTATCAGTTTACATGCTTTGGGTAGGAATGGTCTGGGAATCTTCAGCTGAGCCGGTTTGCCCATCAGAAATGCTAGGTTGTTCACCGCTGAATCAGGCTCGCTCGTTTCCCTCCCGCCGGGGAAGCGAAAAATGATGCCCCTGTTCAATCTTCGTCCATCACATCAGACTGGCGGCACACCACCGGTAAAGGCAAAACAGAAAACCATTGCTTCTGAAAGTCGTAGGTAATGTACCGATTTAACTAAGTCCCGATTAGCGAGTGCTGACCATCCAACGGGGATCTTCCTTACCTTAGCAAGTCGTAATGCCACCCATAGACACCTCGTCGCACGAGGCGCGGCATGACTCGGCAGCTCCAGTAGACGTTCGTCCTCGTCTGTCACTTGGCCATCAAAAAAGTGTGGGGGATAATAGTACTGAGACCATTTGAATCCTCGCATCAAGAAATCCTCTGGTAGGTGACGACCCGTCCCGGACTGTGGTTGAGGGAATTCGGGAGACTCGACTTCTTTGTCGGCCACACCAGATTTGCTCATTGAGTTTAATGACCAAGCCAGTTCGGTCCACGGAATAAATTTCTCAAGGCAGATGAGAGCCTCTGGAACATATGATTGACTCCATATGAATGCCAGAGTGAAATGTAGAAACGGGAGGACATTTCTGTCTCCAGCTTTAGACGCAACAATGGAAGTGCACTGGAGCCAGATAGGCAGAACATATGACGTGACTTCATCGGATGAAGAGAATTTAACCCCTGATCGGTCACCGAGTGGCGGAGCAGCCTGAATAAAGTCTTGCGCATTGATAGGGCCATCTTGTTCCCAGAATTTGCGGTGCAGTTGAGTCTTGACCATAGGATACTCAGATGGATTTTTGCCAGATTGGGGATCCGATTGTCCTTCAGTTGGAGTCTGTCTACTCTTCTCGGAACTCGCACAAAGAGCCTTCCAAAGATAATTTTCATCGGCTCCGAAGTCGAGAATCATGGCGATTAGACATGATGCCATCTCTGCTCCTTGTGTCTTGAAATTCGATCCGGTTCTGTTGATAGTGCCGTCTAACTCGGATACAAATCGACTGATGTGTGAGCAGTAGTCATGAATGAAACCATGAGTGAAAAGTATTCCTGCCGCTGTAACCAGACTAGTTTCTACCTTGAGATATTTTTGACTTGTTGTCTCATATTTGTCGAGAAACGGAGAGAACAAACGCATGATTGAAATCCGGGTATTCACAAATGGGATATCGCTAATGAGAGCCTTGGAGTAGTAAAAGAGCTGTCGAACAATATTCTGTCTCGCCAATACAGCCAAGTGATGCTGTATACGACCAGTCGTTGGTGAGTGATCGGCAGCGCGATTGTACCACATTCTGGCGATATCAGCCCAGTGTTCTCGAACCCGCATATCAGATTCTTCAATGGCCAGTCGGTATCGTCCAAGGTCTCCTAGGCACTCTATCCAAGTCTCATAAAAAGCAGGTACCGATTCCATCAACAGGCCTATCATTTGATAGGCAAGATAGACAAATCTGAGCATGTGTTCGAGCGAGAAAGGTAATCGATCGCGGAGCAGCTCAAGAAAACTGTGAATACCATGTCTACACATCCGCGCAGGCATGGCATGTTTGGTCGGTAGTAGCCGAAGTGCAGGTGAAGCAGTTGGATGTTGACAGGCCAAGAAGAAGTCATGATACTCATGCAACAGAGTCCGATGCAAGACAATCAGGGCCTGCCACTGCTCATGGGAAAGCTTGTTTGCAGTCTGAGACTGCTGGTGACAGGTCTCGACACACTTCTTCTCGAGCTTCACGATGCCAGCGTATATTTTTTCCAAATCATCAACGAGCTTTTCCTGCGAGATAGGCCTGGTTTCGGGTTGTTTGAAGTGTCCATTCACTGCACCTTCCTGGGACACGGAGCGGAGGTGGGAGGGCGGACGGGAATGAGGCCGAGCACCCGACGTAGGTGACGCTGGGGGTAACTTGAGAGAAGACAGCGGTGTCCTCTGAGTAGAGTGATACGCTTGAGACGGGGCTGGTGTTCTCGCGGAAGTAGAGGAGGTGGGTGAAGACAGGGCCCGTTCGTGGCGTGCGGAAAAGGGCAATCCCGGTCCACGATCGTCCTTCTTATTCGGATAGCAAGCGTTCTGGTCAAGGGCGGGGCGTTTGGAACGCCTCATGGGATCTGAAAGGTGATTGTTGGATCGATGGTGGTCGACCAAGGTTAATCGATGGAATTCATTACTGCTGGGTTCCTCTCTCGACTTTGACTGCAGCGATACTTGCTGGTGCTGCTGTCTTTGTCGGACAGCTCTAGATCCCAGAAACTTAATGAGAAATAAAGATATGCGGGCGAAGGCTCGTGAAGGCGTACCTAGAAGTCTTGCTGTTGAAAATTGGCGACGACGAGGACGTGGCGCTAGGGCCAGAAGGCTGAGAGGTTTCTGACAGGCCTGCTTTTGGTCTGAACCGTGACATGGTGTCGGCTGCAGTGGGAGATCTGAATGTCTTTGGATGTTGAACCCCGATAGCGAAACTCGCGTAAAGTGGAACGAGAGCCAATTTCGATGAGTCAGAGTGAAAATGGAGAGAGACTGTGACCCAGGCGAAGGAGATTCTTATACGTACTTTTGATAATACTTCGCCTTGTCTTGTACTCTGTGAAGGCTTCGCTAACCAAAAAGGCAACCACCAAGTGAAAATACGCGTTCGAGGGCAATCAGAATTGTACGGGCCTGTCTGGCTCGACGCCTGGTCGAATCAAAGGTCACTCGCACCTGTTTGCCTTTTATATGGAGCCACCATGCGCCTGTATGGCAGGGGCCAATGTTTCTCCTTGCTCGTAACAGAATACGCCTCGTGTAGAACCCTCTGACCTATTTGGCTAATAGGACAAGTCGAGGACGAAATACGAAATAATCATTGGTTTCGCACGATTGATGAAGCCACTTTCCTTCGCAATAGTAGGCTAGGCCATGAATGTTGATTCTACAAGAAACCAGGAGAATATTGAACTCCCAGCTTCGTTTACTGAGTTGCCAGCTGTTCAGCTTCAAAACCAGGGTTTGGTTTGAGTGGCGAGTAAAGCCACACTTATTTTGCAAAAGGTGCCCAACCCCTTGGTTCCACCTGAAGAATGTCGTCGAAACCGCCCTCTATACCACCTATCTGTAGACACGTCAGGTTTCGACTTGCAGAGACTAGCAACCCCGTCGTGGAGGCTCCATCTGATTACCAAATGCGACCTGTATGCGTACCTCGATTCGTATCCTTTCTCAAGCCGCTCATACGGTTGGATTGGCTGAGTTTTGATCGTAGTGCTGCGCGAAATTGTTGTCCTCAATAATGTTAACATCATTCATTGCGTCAGCATGACTTTGCGATAGATATGTTTGCTGCGACTGCCATGAGTAAAGCTGTTGATAGGGATTGTACAAGTTCGGACGGGGTGATAGTGATGGTAGCGCCAATCCGTATGTGATTTCTTCATTAAAGATCGTTTCGTAATGATCGGCACCATTTTCTGAAGATTGCCGAGAGTCGTAGGCGGTGGCTATCCTGTCTTATATGTCAATAACAGACGCATTTACAGGGATCAAACATACCACGAAACATTGTTATCAAACCGGAGCTCGAATCCTGAACGCTCGTTCCCAGTAGTGTTCCAGCCGAGAGAAGACAGCTGGGAGTGTAGGTTCTTGGATGAACTTAATGTGGTCTGTCGGGTAATGTCCTCGAATCTTGAGGAAGTGATATCCTCAGGGCCTCGCGCTAACGGGATACCCTCAACTGCGATATCTCGCTCAGAAAGGCTCAGATGGGTTGCTGCCATTAATGCTCGTGGTGGACACACATCGGGTTCTCTTTTGAAGGCGAGTCCATCATTGTACTCGAGCAGGGTTTTAAAACCGTCTTGATTATCAACCACGTATGTGTCCGGGCTAAAGTGTTCCACCTTTTTCTCTCGTCCTTCGTCGGCCATCGACTCAGCCGCAAAATGTGGTAGATCATCTACTGACATAGACCCGGAGCTGTTGTAGGTCCTTGCGTGTGAGTTGGCTATTTAGAGGTTAGTAGGGGCTTTTCGTGCCGCCATATAGAAGACTTACGGTCCAATTTGCTGTTTTCGATTCGCGTGATTTTCTGTATCCGGTCTTGCACCCGTGTTGTCTCATCTCTAAATGTCAGGCGAAGAGCGTAGTCGCAAGTATGACCCTGCCGAGTACAGAGGGCACACTTTGGTCGCTGTTCATCACATTTCCTCTTGCGTGTGCGGCATGTCCAGCACCCAGTTCGTGATCGGAGCGGGAACCGTGCTGGCAGAGGAACAGTCGAGGCCAACTGACCACTACCGGTCGAGCTTGCCGAGGATGAGCGGTCATCCTTGGGTGCAGGGACGGGCAGCCGCGGTGGTGGTCGCTTGTCGTCGCGCATCAGAAAGGTCGTTAGCAAGAAACGGCTCTGGGAAACAATCAGCATGACCGCAAAACAGGAGAAAAAGACTCAGATGACCGGCTATCGTCAAGCTAATATACAACAGAAGGGTAAAACGCCGACCATTGAAAACATCTGGTCGGTAGGCTGATTGTGGAGATTGACTATCCAAGCTGTCATCAGAGAGCTCGAGAGACTGGGTCCTAAGTCTTCGATCCTTCTGTGAAGTCGCTCGTGTCTGTGGAAGGGAGAATGGCAGTCGTTCAAAACCGCAAAAGTTCTGAGCGAAGAAGGAGGCAGCCGTACCAGGGAGGCAAGAAGTAGCGAAAGACAGTCTCCAGATCAGCCCTCTTCAGAGTCCTATGTGGGGGTGAAGTACAAAAGGGGGTTGAGACTAGGAAATGGTTTAACAAGTGAGAATGATGAGTCCAGAATGCAACAGAGAGCGAAGAGACTTTATGTTCGAAACGCCATTTTGGCCTAGTCAAGACCAAATCCCGCGATTGTGGGCGTGAGCTGCAGGCGGACGTAAATTTTGGGGGAATCTGGGTGCTCCTACGGAGACTACACGCGGCGTTTTTGTCGAAGAGAGAATGTAAGACCAAAGAAAAATAGGTGGGTGTTATTAAATACAGCCACTTGTGGCTTCACGCCTTGATACTCCTCCTAAATCTGTTGGCGCCCTAGAGGTAAAATGCACGCTTCTTTTTTGAAATATAGCTCAGGAGCTGAGATCTGAGAAGGCAATAAATACAGCTTTCTACAACAACATTCGCTGGCCCGGCCAACGACGAATGACAAGATGACAGTTGAAGCCCCCGGAGTTCCTCACCTAACATCCTCTCGAGTCAAGACCCTTCCATCGAGTCAAGGTCTCCTCCTTGAGATTTTGGCATTCCGCCCACCTAAGCCTCCTTCTGCAGATCGCCTCGTGCGATCCCTCGGAATCATCAGCGGAAATAGACTTGGATTTAGCTCAGCTGGTTTACCGAGCAGCAATGCTAGGCTGTTCACCGCTGACTTGAGTTCCCCCAAAGTAAGAGAGTTCGGGAACATGGCAGAGCCGCTGAGCTTCTCGGTAAGCCTGGTAAATCGCTCTTCGTCCCAAAATTTTGACATATCCGGATCGGCAGATGAAACTCCATAATGAAGACAAACCAGATGAGCACTGCGCTCCCAATCCCAGTCCAATTGTTCTGGTATTATTCGAGGGATACTTTGATCCGGCAGGCGCTGTAGCTTGTCGAGAATAATGTTCCTCCATAGCTTCAACTCCTTAGACGCAACCATTGTGGAAGATATAGAATTGAAAGCATGATGAACACTTTTCCAGCTCTCTTTGTCCAGCGTTTGCGTCCAAGTTTCTGGATGCCGTTGAATGATATCATCTAGTGGTCGCTCATCACCAGTGCGATAATGATCTCCTGTGGTTACATACAAGCAAGAGAGAATCAGCAACAGCTGTTCGTAGGAAAATCTCTGGTCTGTTGCCTGACAGTCGATAGATTCCTCGGACACTTGGACGACCTCGTGCCCAGTTGCAGTTGAGTCTATGTCGATAGTAGTAGAATCTTCCCCGGGCGACCCTTCTGACTGGTTCGGATCCAATAATAGCGACTCGATATCCATAAGTTGACCTGAATGCTATGTGAGAGAATAACTTGTGCCTGTTGGTTCTGAAAATAATGTGAAGGAGCAAGCTGAAAGGGGCTGTAAGGCAGAAAAGGTCGAAGCACTGAACTGTTTAATACTGCGCACACAAGCTGCCAAGATGCAATAGGCACAACACCGTCGAATCTATCATTCAGCCATGCGGATTCTCACAGCAATTTCTCTGGCAGTACCAGCAGGGTGGCTTGAGGCTGAGCCTCATCATTAAACATACTTCCCAGTGCAGTGACACATTTACAGTACTGTTTACCCTGAGCAATTTAAGCAGTGCTCAGTGAAGAAGCTACCATTCTGCCTAAATATCCGAATCCATACACGCCATTTCAGACTAATCAGAGCCAAATTTCGGTTCAAGTTTCCCGGACATCGAGATAGTTCCAGATCGAACCCATCCATGGTGGCCATGATCTACACATGGACACGATCATAGTGATCTTTGTAGACCAATGCTGCCGACTTACTCAAAATATCAACGTAGTAGACGCGACAAGTTCTTTGTAAACCCCCATGCCCACGACAAATGGCCAGTCGAAAGCGATCCTTCCAGGTCCAGCCATAGTTTTCGATATCTACAATCTCTAAAGAGGATGTGCCGTCAAATCCTGTGTAGACATTGACTGCTGTCTGTCACGTTTCGTTGACACTCCTTCTCTGCTCTTCTTTGCAGAGGGGCAGTGAATTCGGCGGTGTCTCACCAAATTACCCAAGAAGGAGAATGGCTGCACGGAGGTTAGACAGTCTGTTTTCCCTCGCTGGGACTGAAACTGGGCATACCTTGCTACATCGCTCGCACATATAAGGCTTCTCTCCGGTATGCACTCGCATGTGTCTAGTCAAATTAGGTCTCCGGGTGAATTGCTTCCCGCAGTCTTTGAAATCACAAGCATGTGGTTTGATGTGAATTAGCTCTGTAAGAAAGTTAGCGAAGAGCTTTCGCAGCCAAGGGTTGGCCATACTATGTCGCGCAATTTCGCTGCGAGACGCAAATG